GTATTTACCTGTATGGGGGAGTACGGCCCGGTCGGGGGCTGGTACCACTGGTGTTACCTGTATGGGGGAGTACGGCCCGGTCGGGGGCGGTACCACTGGTGTTTACCTGTATGGGGGAGTACGGCCGGTCGGGGTCGGTAACCCGGTCTGTATGGGGGGGGCGGATGGTCGGGGTACCACTGGTGTTACCTGTATGGGGGAGTACGGCCCGGTCTGGGGGCGGTACCACTGGTGTTACCTGTATGGGGGAGTACGGCCCGGTCGGGCGGCGGTACCACTGGTATTACCTGTATGGGGGAGTACGGCCCGGTCATGTGGGGGCGGTACCACTGGTATTACCTGTATGGGGGAGTACGGCCCGGTCGGGGGGGCGGTACCACTGGTGTTACCTGTATGGGGGAGTACGGCCCGGTCGGTACCACTGGTATTACCTGTATGGGGGAGTACGGCCCGGTCGGGGGGGGCGGTACCACTGGTGTTACCTGTATGGGGGAGTACGGCCCGGTCGGGGGGGTTGGCGGTACCACTGGTGTTACCTGTATGGGGGAGTACGGCCCGGTCGGGGGCGGTACCACTGGTATTACCTGTATGGGGGAGTACGGCCCGGTCGGGGGCGGTACCACTGGTGTTACCTGTATGGGGGAGTACGGCCCGGTCGGGGGGCGGTACCACTGGTGTTACCTGTATGGGGGAGTACGGCCCGGTCTGTATGGGGGAGTAGGGGGCTGGGGGCGGTACCACTGGTATTACCTGTATGGGGGGGAGTACGGCCCGGTCGGGGGGCGGTACCACTGGTATTACCTGTATGGGGGAGTACGGCCCGGTCGGGGGCTGGGGGTACCACTGGTGTTACCTGTATGGGGGAGTACGGCCCGGTCGGTACCACTGGGTTACCTGTATGGGGGAGTACGGGCCCGGTCGGGGGCGGTACCACTGGTGTTACCTGTATGGGGGAGTACGGCCCGGTCGGGGGGCGGTACCACTGGTATTACCTGTATGGGGGAGTACGGCCCGGTGGGGGGCGGTACCACTGGTGTTACCTGTATGGGGGGAGTACGGCGGCCCGGTCGGGGGCGGTACCACTGGTGTTACCTGTATGGGGGAGTACGGCCCGGTCGGGGGGCGGTACCACTGGTATTACCTGTATGGGGGAGTACGGCCCGGTCGGGGGGGCGGTACCACTGGTGTTACCTGTATGGGGGGAGTACGGCCCGGTCGGGGGCGGCGGTACCACTGGTGTTACCTGTATGGGGGAGTACGGCCCGGTCGGGGGCGGTACCACTGGTGTTACCTGTATGGGGGAGTAACGGCCCGGTCGGTGAGGGGGGGCAGGTACCACTGGTGTTACCTGTATGGGGGAGTATGGCCCGGTCGGGGGGGCGGTACCACTGGTGTTACCTGTATGGGGGAGTACGGCCCGGTCGGGGGCGGGTACCACTGGTGTTACCTGTATGGGGGAGTACGGCCCGGTCGGGGGGGGCGGTACCACTGGTGTTACCTGTATGGGGGAGTACGGCCCGGTCGGGGGGGGGGCGGTACCACTGGTATTACCTGTATGGGGGAGTACGGCCCGGTCGGGGGCGGTACCACTGGTGTTACCTGTATGGGGGATTACGGCCCGGTCCGGGGGCGGGGGCTGGGGGCGGTACCACTGGTGTTACCTGTATGGGGGGAGTACGGCCCCCGGTCAGGGGTCCCCGCTCAGGAGGGTCTCGCTGTTCATCTTGGTCTTCAGGCAGGCAATATATCGGCTACAAAAGTCCTTACAGAGTTCATTGACTTTCTCCAACTCCAGCAGGTGAATGCGGAGAACCTGAATGGCCTTCACCATCTACAGACAGAGAGGAGGGAGGTCATTCACATGTGTACTACAATACACCTCCATCGTATCATGTATTCTCATCCCCTCCGCTGCAGAGTCATGTGACAGGGAGAAGCAGTCCCTCACCCACACAAGGCATTGGCCTTACATACCAAGCTGTCCGTCTCGGGGTCGTCCTGAGAAGAAGTCCTTCCCCTCCTTGTGTTGTCTCCTGACAAAGGTCTCAATGTCCAGGTCGAAGCTGGCCGAGGTGGTTCCCTCCGAACCCTGGGTGCAACCCTCACACTTCTCGAAGAGCAGAGCCAGGAGCGGGAAGAGGGGGTGCCTGGAGGAGAACGGACAACACCGGGGTGAGGAGGAGAAAACCACACCTTTGTAGCCACCATAAAACCAGCTGGAGTTCACTGAGGGACACAGGAATTCAGGGGGTTATACTGCCGCCTACAGGAGGTCACTGGCAATCAAAGCAACTAACCCCCCACCCCCATTCATCCCCAACCCCCACCCCATTAGGGGGAGGGGACACTCAGGACATTATCCTGGTGTAAACACAAGAAAAGATTTTGTCTGTCCCATCAAATCTCTGGGGGGTGGGGAGGTTTGTACCCTCTGGGGGGAGGGTGGTTTGTACCCTCTGGGGGTGGGTGGTTTGTACCCTCTGGGGGTGTGAGTTGCTTTTGTACCCTCTGGTGGTGAGTTGCTTTGTACCCTCTGGGGGGGGTGGGTTTTTTGTACCCTCTGGGGGTGGGTTGCTTTGTACCCTCTGGGGGTGGGTTGTTTGTACCCCCTCATGGGGGTGGGTTGCTTTGTACCCTCTGGGGTGGGTTGCTTTGTACCCTCTGGGGGTGGGTTGGTTTGTACCCTCTGGGGGTGGGTTGGTTTGTACCCTCTGGGGGTGGGTTGGTTTGTACCCTCTGGGGGTGAGTTGCTTTGTACCCTCTGGGGGTGGGTTGGTTTGTACCCTCTGGGGGTGGGTTGGTTTGTACCCTCTGGGGGTGGTTGGTTTGTACCCTCTGGGGGTGGGTTGGTTTGTACCCCGGGGGTGGATGGTTTGTACCCTCTGGGGGTTGGTTTGTACCCTCTGGGGGTGGGTTTGGTTTGTACCCTCTGGGGGTGGATGGTTTGTACCCTCTGGGGGGGGTGGGTGGTTTGTACCCTCTGGGGGTGGGTTGGTTTGTAACCCTCTGGGGTGGTTGGTTTGTACCCTCTGGGGGTGGGTGGTTTGTACCCTCCTGGGGGTGGATGGTTTGTACCCTCTGAGGGGGGTGGTTGGTTTGTACCCTCTGGGGGTGGGTTGGTTGTACCCTCTGGGGGTGGGTTGGTTTGTACCCTCTGGGGGTGGGTGGGTTTTGTACCCTCTGGGGGGGTGGATGGTTTGTACCCTCCGGGGGTGGGATGGTTTGTACCCTCTGGGGGTGGGATGGTTTGTACCCTCTGGGGGGTGAGTTGTTTGTACCCCTCTGGGGGTGGGTTGGTTTGTACCCTCTGGGGGTGGCTGGTTTGTACCCTCTGGGGGTGGGGTTTGGTTTGTACACCCTGGGGGTGGGATGGTTTGTACCCTCTGGGGGTGGGTTGGTTTGTACCCTCTGGGGGTGGGAGGTTTGTACCCTCTGGGGGTGGGATTGGTTTGTACCCTCTGGGGGTGGGTTTGTTTGTACCCTCTGGGGGGTGGGTTGGTTTGTACCCTCTGGGGGTGGGGGGTTTGTACCCTCTGGGGGTGGGAGGTTTGTACCCTCTGGGGGTGGGTGGGTTTGTACCCTCTGGGGGAGTGGGGGGTGTACCCTCTGGGGGGGGTTGGTTTGTACCCTCTGGGGATGGGAGGTTTGTACCCTCTGGGGGTGGGGTGGTTTGTACCCTCTGGGGGGGATGGGTGGGGGGGGTGGGTGGTTTGTACCCTCTGGGGGTGGGCATTGGTTTGTACCCTCTGGGGGGGGCATACAAGGTTGGTTTGTACCCCTGGGGGTGGGTTGGTTTGTACCTAACGTGGGGAGGAGGAGGTCAGTCTGTTCCCAGGGTTGAGGAAAGATGGGAGAGGTAGGCAATACAAAACGGGCAGTTTCTGTTCAGGTTGGGGGGGGGGGGCATATAATGGGTGGCTTGTACCCAGTGTGGAGGTAGGGGCATACAATGGGCAGTTTGTACCCAGTGGGGGTAGGGGCATACAATGGGCAGTTTGTACCAGTGGGGGGAGGGACATACAATGGGCAGTTTGTACCCATGTGGGGGTAGGGGCAATGGGCAGTTTGTACCCAGAGGGAGTAGGGGCATGCAATGGGCAGTTTGTACCCAGAGGGAGTAGGGGCATACAATGGGCAGTTTGCACCCAGTGGGGGGGTAGGGCATACAATGGGCAGTTTGTACACAGTGGGGGGGTAGGGGCATACAATGGGCAGTTTGTACCCAGGGGGGGGGGGTAGGGGCATACAATGGGCAGTTTGTACCCAGTGGGGGGATGGGGTAGGGGCATACAATGGGCAGCTTGTACCCAGTGGGGGGATGGGGTAGGGGCATACAATGGGCAGTTTGTACCCAGTGGGGGGATGGGGTAGGGGCATACAATGGGCAGTTTGTACCCAGTGGTGGGGGTAGGGGCATACAATGGGCAGTTTGTACCCAGTGGGGGGGTAGGGCATACAATGGGCAGTTTGTACCCAGTGGGGGGGTAGGGGCATACAATGGGCAGTTTGTACCCAGTGGGGGGATGGGGTAGGGGCATACAATGGTCAGTTTGTACCCAGTGGGGGATGGGGTAGGGGCATACAATGGGCAGTTTGTACCCAGTGGGGTGATGGGGTAGGGGCATACAATGGGCAGTTTGTACCCAGTGGGGGGATGGGGTAGGGGCATACAATGGGCAGTTTGTACCCAGTGGGGGGATGGGGTAGGGGCATACAATGGGCAGTTTGTACCCAGTGGGGGTAGGGGCATACAATGGGCAGTTTGTACCCAGTGTGGGGGTAGGGGCATACAATGGGCAGTTTGTACCCAGTGGGGGGATGGGGTAGGGGCATACAATGGGCAGTTTGTACCCAGTGGGGGGATGGGGTAGGGGCATACAATGGGCAGTTTGTACCCAGTGGGGGGATGGGGTAGGGGCATACAATGGGCAGTTTGTACCCAGTGTGGGGGTAGGGGCATACAATGGTCAGTTTGTACCCAGTGGGGGGATGGGGTAGGGGCATACAATGGGAAGTCTTGGATGGTGGATAATGGAATCTGAAGCCGCTCTTCACGCAAAAATCGTTCCAGTCCCGGCAGAGATGCCGGAGGCGGAAAACGAGCCCCAACCTTGTTCTCCAAAACTGCCCATGGTGGCTCCATGATCCTGAGGTCTGGGGGGAAGGTGCGAGACTTCGTCTGCATGCTCCTCAAACCACCAGCTGGGAATCGGAGCTTTATCATCTTGGTTATGGCGTGGTCCTCAGGAAATGTCTGCACCATGGGGTCGGCCAAAAGCTCTACAAAGTCACTGGCAGTGACTCTACCTGTGAAGGTGATGATGGAGGCTGCAGAATACCAAGATATGGCTGCCCAAACCATGATTGCACCACCACCATGCTTTACGGTTGGCACCAGACCGTCCTGGTCATTGGCTTGGGATGGTGTTGGCCACACGTGAACACGTCCGGTGATTGGGAACAATGTCAAGCTTGATTCATCAACCATATTACAGTCTTCCATCGATCGATGCACTTCGGGGGCTGGGTCATATAGTGAGTTGAGGGCCTGCAGGGGCCGGGTCACATAAGATGAAGGTTCTGTGGGCTGGGTCACATGATGACAAAATGAAGGCTCTTTTGGAGCTGGGTCATATGATGGTGAGTTGAGGGCTCTGCAGGGTCCGGGACACATACGATAAAGGCTCTGTGGAGACTGGGTCATATGATGGTGAGTTGGGGGCTCTGCAGGGGCGGGTCATATGATGGGGAGTTGAGGGCTCTGCAGGGACCAGGTCACATGATGACAAGTTGAAGGCTCTTTGGGGGCCGGGTCATATGATGGTGAATTGAGGGCTCTGCAGATGAAGGCCAGGTCATATGATGGTGAGTTGAGGGCTCTGCAGGGGCCAAGTCACATATGACAAGTTGAAGGCTCTGCATGGGGGGCTGGTCATATGATGGTAAGTTGAGGGCTCTGCAGGGGGCGGGTCTGCATGACGACAAGATGAAGGCTCTTTGGGGGCCGGGTCATATGATAGGGAGTTGAGGGCTCTGCAGGGACCAGATCACATATGATGACATGATGAAGGCTCTTTGGGGGCCGGGTCACATGGAGTTGAGGGCTCTGCAGGGACCAGGTCACATGATGACAAGATGAAGGCTCTTTGGGGGCCGGGTGATATGATGGGAGTTGAGGGCTCTGCAGGGACCAGATCACATGATGACAAGATGAAGGCTCTTTGGGGGCCGGGTCATATGATAGGGAGTTGAGGGCTCTGCAGGGACCAGATCACATGATGACATGATGAAGGCTCTTTGGGGGCCGGGTCACATGATGGTGAGTTGAGGGCTCTGCAGGGACCAGGTCACATGACAACAAGATGAAGGCTCTTTGGGGGCCGGGTGATATGATGGGGAGTTGAGGGCTCTGCAGGGACCAGATCACATGATGACAAGATGAAGGCTCTTTGGGGGCCGGGTCATATGATGGTGAGTTGAGGGCTCTGCAGGGGCGGGTCACATGATGACAAGATGAAGGCTCTTTGGGGGCCGGGTCATATGATGGGAGTTGAGGGCTCTGCAGGGACCAGATCACATGATGACAAGATGAAGGCTCTTTGGGGCCGGGT